AGTGTCACTGGCCCTCATATGTGGGATCCGAACCGGGGCCCTCTGGCATCCCAAGCGAGTTCTTAACCATCGCGCCACTCGGCCGGCCCCTGTGTGTGTCTTTCAATCTGAAGTGAGTCTCTTGTAAGCATCATCTGTAAGGACCTTGGTTTCTTATCCATTGAGCTCCCCTATCCTTTGATTGGAGCATTTAATCCATTTACATTGAAAATAATTGTTGATAGTTATGTAGATATTGCCATTTTAGTATTCATGTTTTTTATTTTTATTTTTTTGTTTTAAGAAGTCCCTCTAAGATTCCTTGTAATACTGGTTTGGTGATGATGAACTCCTTTAGCTTTTTCTTGTCTGGGAAGCTCTTTATCTGCCGTTCGATTCCAAATGATAGCTTTGCTGGGTAGAGTAATTTTGGTTGTAGGTCCTTGCTTTTCATCACGAATATTTTGTGCCAATCCCTTCTAGCCTACAAAGTTTCTGTTGAGGAATCAGCTGATAGTCTTATAGGAGCTCCCTTATAGGTAACTATCTGCTTTCCTCTTGCTGCTTTTAAGATTCTCTCTGTGTTTAACATTTGCCATTCTAATTATAATGTGTCTTGGTGTGGGCCTGTTTGAGTTCATCTTGTTTGGGACTCTGCACTTCCTGGCCTTATGTATCTATTTCATTCAATAGATTAGGGCAGTTTTCTGTCATTATTTCTTCAAATAGGTTTTCAATTCCTTGCTCTCTCTCTTCTCCTTCTGGTACCCCTATAATGCAAATGTGGTACACTTGAGGTTGTCCCAAACGCCCCTAAACTCTCTTCAATTTGTTGAATTTTTTTTTCTTTTTGTTGTTCTGATTGGGTGTTTTCTGCTACCTTATCATCTAAATTGCTGATTTGATCCTCTGCTTCATCTAATAAACTGTTGATTCCCTGTAATGTATTCTTTATTTCCATTGTAATCTTTTTTCTGACTAGTCCTTTTTTATGTTTTCTATCTCCATTTTTGTTTCTTATCTCTTTTTTGAAGTTCTCCCTGATATCATTGAACATCCTTATAACCAGTGTTTGGAGCTCTGCGTCTGGTAGATTACTTGTCTCCATTTTGTTTAGTTCTTTCTCTGGAACTTTGTTCTGTTATTTGGGACGTGTTTTATTGTTTCCCCATTTGGGCTGCCTTTCTGTTTTTATGAATTAGGGAGGGCTGCTATGTCTCCTGGTCTTAGTAGAGTAGCCTTATGTAGTAGGTGCGCTATGGGGCTGGCTCAGTGGTGCAGTCTTCCTGGTCACTTGAGCTGCATTCTCCAGGTGTGTCCCTCGTGTGGGTTGCATGTGCCCTCCTCTTGTAGTTGAGACTTGGTTGCTGTTTGCATGTTAATGGGAGGGATTGACCCTCCGATTCATTGGTTGTAAGGACTGGCCTTGACTACAGCGGAGGAGTTGTGGTGCAGGGTCTGACCCTACAGAGCAGGATCTGCCTCAGCAGGACTCTGGCGCCTGCCCAATCTGCTCCTTGGGTGTGTCATCCTTGGAGGCAGCTGGGTGGTGCTCCAGCTGGTTTTGAAGCTGGCTGCTGGGGGTGCCAGCACCAGGGCTACCGGAGGGGAGACCTGCTGCAGGTCAAGTTCAGTCACAGCCAGTGCCCCACCCAAGTCACCTGGCAGGAGCCACAGAGAAATCCGCAGATGGCTACCACCCATGCCATGCTTAGAAATGCCTTGAGAGGCCAAGCTGCAAACCAAGGCCAGCTGCCGCTAAGCAGTTGAGCAGTGCCAGGCTTAGGGCTGCTCAGCCAAAGATACAAAACATGCTCAAACCAGATGCTGCTTGTCTGGGTTCCTCGAACCTTTGAGAGACCCTAAGAAAGTCTGCAGCATGAACCATGGCAGGCAGTTTGTACAAAAAAGCCACTGGAAGCGGTTTGGATGTGCCCAGAAGTAGGGTGGGGCAGAGTCTCGAATCACCAGGGTGAGCATTAGCCAGCTTGATGCAGACTCAGATATGGTGGCTGCCTGCATCTACACCCAGGGAATGGGGAGGGCTCAACAAAGAAACAATGGCCTCCGCCAGCTCCTCAGTCCAGGAGAAAGCTGCCCCTCCAGCCCCTGTTCTGAAGCCAGACAACTCAGTTCCCCACCATGTGTCCCTGCTACCTCTCCACCTGCTGCCCCAGTGCTGGAGCTCAGAGCCAGTGATCGAGCTCAGAGCCAGTGATCCTATGGGTAAGTCCTTGTTTGGTCTATTTAAGAGGAGCACCTGGGATTCCAGCTGCCCTCTCACTCAGCCACAATCTCTGCTAGTTTTCACAGCCAGAAATTATGGGACTTATCCCCCAGCACAGGAACCTTGGCCTGAGGAGAGGCTAAGACTCCTCGTTCCTCCAGGAGGACCTCTGCAGCCGATATCCCTCCCAATTTTTAATGGTCACATGTGGGTGTGGGGCCAGCCCATTCCATGTCTCTGCCCCTCCTACTAGTCTCAAGGTGGCTTCTTCTGCACATCCTTAATTATAGGGCTTTGGCTTAGCAAGTTTTAGGCAATCCTCAATGATGGTTGTTTTGTAGTTTAGTTTATTGATGTGGTCATGAGAGAAAGTAAACACAGTTTTCACCTCCTGTGCCATCTTGACCAGAAATGCCAAAGATTTTTAGATTTTTGCATGTGGTAAAAATGATTAGTGAGGATGGACTACTAATAATGATGTGTCAGTCAACTGAATTCAGAGACAAACTGAAGGAAGGACCAAGTTCTATTGTTTAATACATTTTAACCCTTTGGAAAAACTTGTTTGACCTCAACTCATAATT